TTCTAGAAGGTATACCGTTGCGTTTTTTGAAATTGAGAAGCCAATAGTCACTTGCTTTAAAACCATGTATATTTTCTATTTTCGCCTGAGATCGTGCACAGATAAATTGTTATTACGAGCAGAGCGAAATCTATCAAGTACAAAATGCTCTACACGCTCCAATTTTTGCCGTCGGCTTCCGTTATTTGCAACATATTCTCGAATTCGCTCTAATTGCATAGGATGTGTAACTCGTCGAAAAGCATGCTGTACGGTTGTAAAAGCAATACCTGGACGAGTGAAGTCGACAACCCTTTGCATGTATTCTAAACTGAACTGACGATTTTCGACTACTTGTTGCCCTTCATCATCTTCGATTTCAACAGGATAGTCCAGGTCAAAATGATCGACATCAGAAGCTTTGAGAGAATCTTCTGTCTCTATTGTAAAGCTGTCACTGTTGGAAAGGTCCTCTGATAGATCAACCAGATTGATTGCGATCGATATCTCTTCTTCTGTGGTACTTATTGAATGAACACTTGACCTTTCTAATGCTTTTTCATATAAATGTTTACATATGTTAACGATGCTCGTCATAGATAAATAAGTTTTGATGAAGTGAAACCTGAGAGAATATTAATCAGAAGATTTATCATGGGCTACTTTCCGAATGACGGATATATACAGATTCGAAAGAAGATGGAAGAATTCACTCGAAAATGTTAGAAAATCACAGCATTTTTTGATAGCCGGTAAGCATAGAACATAAGAAACCAATTGGAATATACTAGAAAGAATGAGCAAATAAGGGATGTGTAACATGAGTGCATAGCAATACAACGAAAAGAACTAGTTATCTTATTTTTACACTATCACGTACTAACAGTAACAAGTCGTGAAGCACATTTGATTGAAGTGCACTCAAATATATTGCAAGTGTCATTGTTTATGTTAATACGACGATTTGAGCTTCCAATAACGTTGATCTATTGATTTCCTAACAAATATCTTACAACTTATCTAGGCAAGAAATTCACTATTAAAATCGATTGATTTTTCTCATTTGAGGTCTATGGGCAAAAACAGAACATACCACAAGAAGCAGCTCGTCGAGCTCTACAAACTGGTATATAGCCCATTTAAAACTGAGACTAATACGTGGAAATGTTCCTTCGTTACTTTTAGCATGCAAACAGCTAAAAGATTGGCAACGTCATGCATTGCTATGTGCTTATTTAATTTCTTATGGGCCACAAGTTCTCGGTTTCATTCTCTACAAAAAGGAATTCAATCAGACATTTATTATTAAGCTCCCTTTGCGATGGACGTTGCAGAAGAAGCAATAATCAAACATCAATATCATACTAGATTTGGTCGCTTTTTTTAATGTTATTTGTTTAAAATAAACTGCAAGATCTGAATATAGAGTGCTACTAGAAAATTTCTCATTGTTCTGAATGATCGTTATTTCAAGACTTCAGTAATTAAAATATTATCTGTATATTGTCTTCGATAAATGCGTGTTGTAGGTAGAGTTTTACTTAAATAGTTACTATTGCAATATAATGACTATCATGATTTCAATGAGCACTCTTTGGCTATTTAGATATACTATATAGATTATAAGATTTCGTTTATGTCTTCTATTTCTCAATAGAATTCATCGCATGAACTATAGCAGAGTTATGACCATCTGATGAGACCTTTGAGCAATTTCAAAAGCTCAGTCATGGTTTGCTAGTGACGTCTACACTAACGTTACGAGCTCAACAATCTAATAACGATTCATCTCGTTGTATTGGCTCGTGCAAACAATCTTTTTCTTGCCGATTCTTGAAGAGTTATTATATACACTGTTACATGAAAAAGATATTATGATAGTCTCGTCTATGCCGCATTCCAGGAATCTAGCTGAATATGTCGACGAATTTGCTCATCTACCGGCTCGTAGATATGTTCGATAGGAACACGAAGTTGATCGAGTTGATCACGACGACGGTGACCTTTGATTAAAACGGCATTGGTGTATTGATTTTTAACAAATGAAGTGATGTCAACAATACGAAGGATATCCCGACCGTCGAGAAAACTGTCAACTTTTTTGAGGCCCAATTGTATCGCTCGGCGGTAAGGAATTGGTGTACCATGTGGATCATAATCAGGATCCCATTGCAAACGAATTCGACCTTTTAAACGAACTTGATCTGTATTATTTGATGTTACTGATTGTTTGTCAGGAGGAAGATCTTGACTATTTGAGTCAACAGCTCGTGCTAGATAACTATCGAACGCCGATCGTCGAAGCCAAATAGCTAGAATACGTTTTTTGTTTGAACGTGAGATCCAATGAGATCGATGCATCATCCAGAGAAAATTCGTTTTGATCCCTATTACAGCAAAAAAACTAAGACGTCTGAACAATTACACTTTCAATCTTACAGGTCATCCGCTGCTGGTTATAACCTGGACATCCGATAAAATGACCATTTTCACAAGCAAATTGTGCTATTTCATCGTCGTAAGCTTGATAGACCACAATTGACTCATCATCAAACGATGCCAGTATCCATTTCCCACCAGGTCGACTCCTACGAATCGGCCATCGACGTTGTGCATCCATGTAAAACTCTGTAGCGTTCTCGTATTTAGTCAACCAGTCCATGATCTTTTGTGAATAATTGAAACAACAATTAACTCTGTGATTTCCAAAGACCAAATACTTGTCTACTCTAATGACTCAGACTTGTGCAATAATACGCATAAATTACATATAGAGAAAGAAAGAAAGAAAGAAAGAAGGAAAGAAATATAATTTCTTCATAAATGCACACGTCATTCTTGTGTCAAGGCAACTATATTGAAGTTCGATAAAAGAGATAGGCAAGAACAAAAAACAAAAAATTTGGGGTGGCTGCGAATGGTAGTCATAGTGAGCATACATTTTCATACACACTCTAACGCCTAGCTAAAGACAAACCCTACATCCATCAAACTAGTAAAAGAAGATATATTATAGTTATGCTTGGTTAAGAATTTATTTTAGTAGCTATGTAACGTAGTTAAGTTATATTTTAGATAAAAATGACAATTTTCAAAAAAGCATAAGTAAGCAGTAGTGTTAAAATTGATGAGTGTTTGTCTAATTTGTTTTTGCAAGAACATCCGATAAACCAGTGAGGAGATCAAATGAATTAATAAGATTGTTATCATATCGATTAAACAGCTTATTTATGCATTTCTGGAAAATATCAAAGTTTTGAAAATGTGGTGAATCAATGCGACTCCTACACAGCGCAAACTTTATCCGAAATTGGTAGTTTCTCAAAATGCATTTCCTTGTCTTAAATATTTTCGAAATTTTGATCTTGAGTATTTTGCAGCCAGGGTTCATTTCACATAAATGATTAAAAACATCATTTATTAATCGATTTTCAATAAGTTTTACGAAGTGCGGTGAAAAATAAAATCTTGAAGTATCATTAATTGGTATTTTACCAATTTTTTCAATTAAGAAATAATGATCCCATTTTCATTCTTTATAGGTAGCTTCAGCACGTGTTGTATAATCTGTTGCAATGATAACATATAAATCGTGATGTACTACGGTGAAATAGTATTGATTTGATTACCCTACAAGAGCGACAGAGAGAAATTAAATAATAGAAAATATGACTTTAAATATATGTCCCATTGACTATGACAGCATAATGAGTCTGAAAAAAGACGGATTATCTTTTATTTTAAGACCATTTTGTGGGGACTGTTCAAGGGAATCTATCGAGTTAAGGGGAAGTATGGATACCATTATAGAGGTTCATAAAATTGTATAGTGGAGAGCACCGATTGGCTAGCTAAATTCAAACACGCATCTTGTCGTATTGCATTATTCTTGAAAATATGTCAAAAACGAATAAAATATTGAATGAAAAACTGAATTTTTCGAATAACTCATAACTGTTTTGTCATCAAACTATTTTTTAGCAGTAAATTTGGTTTCTCACCCACAATAGATAGTCCTATTTTATAGGATAGAATTTTTCTTATTATTAGGATGTGACCATTTACGTCCTTGGGATACTTGTTTTAGACAGTTATTCAAATTGTCCTTCAAGAACATTCATCATATTTCTTGGTGCTATGAATTAAGAAAATCAAATCGACCTGTCATACTGATTTATTTTTTAAAAGACGAAAAGGCTAGTAATCTTATGTGATTGATTGAAATCTTTACGGGATAGAATTTCGATTAAAAAAGTGGATTTCACAGAAACACTTCCCTTGAAGTACAGTCAAGATCTAATCTGTGCACACAACAATGTGTGGAGTCGAGAAGTCATGAATTAACTGTTGCAAACCTCAATTTTAAGACCATTTCAATAAAAACACAAATCATCAGTGGGGAATTTTATTTTAATAAAACGGATTCCCTGTTTGCAGCTATTTTTTCGTGCTAAATCTATATACCATTAAATGATCTTATGTGCCTTCACGATGTTCTCCATAGTTTACCTTAGGTTGATGGGTTTCGTTAAACATTGCTTGCAGCATACTTAATCACGTGGGTATATATTGTATCTTTTTTTTGATTGGTTCCGAGTTTTTCAATATGTTTAGCAACGACATTGCATCACTGCAATCTTATTTTTTGACTTGAGTTATTTCGTGTTAAATTTATTCATTCTTTAATTCTTTTCCTATAGTATTGATGTTGGAGAATTAAATTTCCATTAGTGATTATTCTTGTGACTACATTTTACCAGTTCCGAATTCGATCATTTTTCATTTTAGTTCATTAATGTTTCGTTTTGTTTAATAGGTTTCATTATTGGTTCACCAAGATACACTGCTCTACAATTGCATTCAATTTGATATACTATTGAATTTATTTTTGTTTCCGTTAATGAGTTTTGTTCTAGATTGTTTTCAGATGTTTTTAATCATAGAGGTCATATTTTATAAGATATTTTGTTTATCACCGACTTATGATGGCATAAATTTTATTTTAATAAGGTTTGCGATGTTGTTTTGCTTATAAGCCATCTAATGTTTATTTGTCACTATGTTATGGGCTCTTGTCAATGTAGTGCCGAGAAAATTTAATTGCTTGCTATTTTCAAATTCTAATGTGAGTGTGGATGTAGAGTGTGCTTGGTTGTTACTGAGTAGAGAAGTCTGCATACAGACTCCCACACTCACATCCTTCTTTTTACAAAAGTTTTTTTTACCCGATTACCCATTTTAGTTATGCTATCATATTTGCACCGTTCTATTGCGCTGTTTTCAGTAACGTTTTTCAACAAAAATTCTAAACGCTCCCGGAAAAAATCTTTAAGGAGCTATTAAAGATCTTCATTCTACTAAATGTAAACGATTTTCTTATTATTCGATCTCAAACCGATATTAGAGCTTCATGATTGTTACTAATTGAATGCAGGATGGTATTCTCACCAACAGTGTTTTAACATTCGTAAAACAGTCAAGGGAAGGAACGATTATTAAATTGCATTCGAAACATAATTTCTTTGGAATACTTTACATTGTAGATATTATAAAGCTCACTAATAGAAATCAATAATTAAATACTGGTCAACACTATTATTGCTTTTGGTATATGCCTATGTAAGTGTATTGAGCAGCCAAAGGGAACTTTTGTTTGAACATCAGTAAAGCTTGTAGAAATTAAGATGGGTATTGGATCTCACATTGGAGTTGAGGCTGCCAAAGAAATGAGGCAAGGAATTGGAGACGCATCATCGAATTTAGTTTCTGGTATGGAGAAAGTGGCAAAATCAGGCGAGCAAATTTCGCAGAATATGCTTGTTGGCTGGCGGAAAAATCTCAAAACTTTACAACGTATATCCAAAAATTTCAATAGTACAATTCATACCACGGTGACAAAAACTCTTCTGAGTGTAGAAAAAGCGATCGCGCTAGGCGATAAAGTGACACAAAGTATGCTGTTAGGTTGGATGGCAAGTCTCAAAGAGGTCAACCATCTGGTCAATACCCTGCCATACGTTGGGCAGCATACAGGTGAATTCTTCGCTTTGAAGGCTGTCGAAATCGTGTCCAGAGGAGTACACGTTTTACTCAAACATCCATTGGCAATCTTCATCATAATTATGCTCGCGCTTCTTTTGGCCTTAGTCAATTTCAGAATTTTTGTGGTTCTTATTCGTGATCCTATTTTCCAAGCGCTCTCGTTCACTACCGTTTTGGTATCAGCAGCTTATCTTTGGGACAAACAAAACAAACTTACTGGTAAGTTTCAAACAAATTTTAGTAATCAATCGACCCAGAGAATAGAAGCTAACTGTTTTGAAATTTATTCGACATTTCCAGGGTGCCCATACCTTCTCAAATGGG